AAATTTTAAGGCTGCTTTTTTTTCTGTTTTTATTGTCTTAACATTCTTGTATCAAACAGTTAAAAAGTAGAGTCATTATTTATAATAGGAAATACCTAACTTATAATGGATCCATTATTTTTTTGGTACATGTAATAAATATTTGAGGGTTTGCAGCAAATCAACATAATAGAAAACTTAGCAAGCAAACTAATTCCTCCATATTTAGTAATGTTAATTTAAAATAGTATTATAAAATGTTATTCCCCTAATGTCTTTGCTAATACAAGACAATTATAAGAATGTACACTTGATTCTTTAAAGTGTATATACTTAAAGAGAGGAAATACATGAGAAGAAGAAAAAAGGTAGAAACCAGTTCTATTCCAGGAACTGTATATATTCTATCTGATTTAATCCTTTAACTCATCCTATGAATAGACAGTATTATTCCTTTTTGCAGAAGAGGAAAGCTTAGAGAGGTAAGTACCTTGCCCGATGATACAAATTCAAGCCTAAGCCTACATAACTTTAAAATCCATAAATTTTCCACTAGGTTTCATTAGAGCCCAATTTAGTTATATAAATGTTATAATTTAATGTGATTCTGATCTCTGAATTATTTGAAAGGAAAAGGATGCCATATGATTCCTGGAATTTTTTTGTATTCTCTCTTCATCTCTTCCGGTAATTTATACCTGTTCTTTCAACCATAGCTCTGCATGTTTTCTTGCTCTCTTCTATCCTCACTACTTGAGAATTAACAAGGACTTTTCCTTTAGAAAAAAAAAAAAGTATATGTGCACATTTAGACTGGTCATTTTTTTTTTGGTGTCTCACCTTTTTAAAATTTTTACATTTATACTCCCTGAAAACACCTTTCAGTCTATTGATTTCTTAGTCATAAGATAGCTTTGCCATAACTTGATTAGTGATATCTTTACTATCTTAACACCAAAAAATATTGACATGTAAGATAGTTTAGAAGAGCAAGATGGTTTGTTTGATAGCGTTAATTCCATTTTAAGTTGAATTTAACAGTAAATAAGAAGCAATACTTGAGTATGGCTCCAGCCATAAGCATAACTTTGAGATAATGACAGCAGAGGGTCTCTAGTAACAAAAATATTTTAAGATAGTTTTTAGTGTATTTAAGATAACATCTTTAAGTTCATTCAAAGACCCAGTGTTGTAGGGGCTGGGGTTGTGGCTCAGTGGTAGATCACTTGCCTAGCACTTGCGAGGCACTGGGTTCGATCCTCAGCACCACATAAAATAAATAAATAAATAAATAAAAAGACCCAATGTTAAAAGAGCTCAAGGGACTGGGTACATGTAATAAATATTTGAGGGATTGCAGCAGATCAGAGATAGTGCCATAATATCAGAAAGACTTTAAATCACATGCTAACATCTATGGCAGTGGAAAAATTCTCGCTTTGGTTAAAACTTTGTAAAGAAGTAGCTCAATGGTAGAGCGCTTGCTTAGCATGTGTAAGGCACTGGGTTCGATCCTCAGTGCCACAAAAAAATAAATAAAATAAAGGTATTGTGCCCATCTACAACTAAAAAAATATTTTTAAAAAACAGCTCTGCAGTAGACCCCACTCATACTCTCTACTATAGAACTTTTAGCTTCCTTTAGTTTAATCATCTGTGGGCTTGGGGTTGATAATTACTGCATTATCTAGTATTATACTTGGTTTTTCACTTTGAGTATATTTTAACAACTTGATTATCAGCTCTCATAGCATTTCCTTTAGACATCACTGTTATCTACTACTTATTAGACATAGTTATTCGATGTTATTATAAAGGTATATGCTTGCTATCCATGGTGGCACACACCTTTAATACCATCAACTTTGGAGATTGACAATTCAAGACCAGCCTCAGCATCTTGGCAAGACCTATCACAAAATTTAAAAATAAAGGTTTGGGAATGTAGCTAAGTGGTAAAGGACCCCTTGGCTCAATCCCCGGTACCAAATGATTTTTTTTAAGTGTATGCTTGATTAATAGTAATTCTAGTGTGCATTTGAACTCATTTTTTGTGTTCTCTAAAAATATACCTTTTGTGGGGCTGGGGATGTGGCTCAAGCGGTAGCACACTCGCCTGGCATGCATGCGGCCTGGGATCGATCCTCAGCACCACATATAAATAAAGATGTTGTGTCCGCCGAAAACTAAAAATAAATATTAAAAATTCTCTCTCTCTCTCTCTCCCTTAAAAAAATACGTACCCCACTTGAATCAAATGTATGATATGTCTAGATCATTGTAATGTTTTGAGCAACTAATAAAAAAATTAATATATATATTATATATATATATATAATATATATATATATACCTTTTGTATATATACAATAGAATATCACTCAGCCATAAAGAAAAATTAAATTATGGCATTTCCCAGTAAATGGATGGAACTGGAGACTATCATGCTAAGTGAAATAAGCCAATCTCAAAAAGCCAAAAGCCAAATATTCTCTCTGATAAGCAGATACTAACACACAAGAAGGGGTGCAGGGAATAGAAGTACTTTGGTTTAGACAAAGGGAAATGAAGGGAAGGGAGGGAAGTTGGGAATTGGAAAGACAGAATGAATCGGACATTTTTTCCTGTGTTCATATATGAATACATGACCAGTGTAACTCCACATCATATACAAGCACAAGAGTGGAAATTTATACTCCATGTATGAATAATAGGTCAAAATACATTCTGCTGTCATGTATAACTAAAAAGAACAAATGTTGTGAAATATGATATATCAAGAACTATGTAATGTTTTGAACAGCCAACAATAAAAAATTTTAAAAAAAAAAGAACAAATGAAAATTTTTAAAATATATACCTTCCAATTGATTGTAATCCTGTGTATTTTCCCTTGATAAAAGATTTTGCAACTATAACTTGTGTGGATACGATGCAAGAGGAAGAAGGTCATAAGCTTGATGATGCCTCAGTCCTGACCACCAGAAGTGATGAAAAACCCCATCCTTTTACCAATCCCCGATGGGCTACTAGAGTCTTTGCTGCTGAATGTGTCTGTAGGATAATTAACCAGTGTGAGAATGCAAACAGTGCACATTTTGACATTGCTTTAGCACAAGAAATGAAAAAAAGGGATTCAAGAAGTAAGTGGCATAGTGATGTAAAGACAAAGAGATACACATAGAAATGCTGCCTGCTTATGGTTTTCATATATATTTTAACAATAAAGCCAAAAGATTATTTTTATCCTTCCAAATCAGGTATGAAGTTTGATTACAGTATTTATGTAAGCTACCGGTTAGTACCTTTTTTAATGTTTAAATACATTTTTCATGATAAGCTTCTTAAATTTGCATTCATTTTTGACTGTACATGCAATGAGTTAAGTTTATAGAGAATGATCATATTCTTGGGAAGTAAGGTGTGTTGGCTAGTTCCCAAAATGAATTTTCTGAATTGTAACTCTTAACAATTTTGCTTATAGTTTATTTCAGTGTCATGAATATTACCTAAAAATATTTGAACCAGTGTAAATTAAGCCTAATTGCAAGACCATTTTGACTTTGTTCAGTTTTATTTTTACCTACAAATGTGTATGTGTTCATGGTTTGGTGTCTGATTTTTAGAATTCATGTAAGCATATAATTATTCAAAGTCACAATGCACTTTTATGAGTAACCTAGTAATATTCTTTATCAGACAAAAGAATTACAAAGCAGAATGTTGCTGTCACTACTTGAGTATGAATTAGACATCTCTGATTTAATTATTTTTAAGCAAGCATCTTTTAAGATCTTTATTTGGGATGAGCATTGTGCAAGATATTTATCCGTGTAGAATTATTATGTCATAGATATTTACTGATTCCTGTGCTCCCAAACAAAATATTAGTGAGGTCTTGGGGATGTGACTCAGTGGGAGAATGCTTATGTAGCATGAGAAAGGCCCTGAGTTCAATCCCTAGCACCACAAAAATAAATAAAATAATAGAATGGAATAGTAGTTAACACTGACTACATTTCTCCAATGTGAGCTATAACTTTGTTCTTTGAATTAGTCTCAGATATATTCTGGGTAAAAGTTAGCTGTGTTCAGAAATATTATTGGAACATCTAAATAATTTTCTAATGCCTCCCCCCAAACTTTTGTACCAAAGGATGTTTTGTAGTCATAAGAGGAATTTTATCATTTCTATAGCTAGAGATTTTTTTAATATTCCCATGATTTGTGTATTTAGCAAGATATGTAAAATAAGATAATCTGGTGCATGTAGAGTCACACAAAGCTTTTTTTTATTGTTGTTTGTATTAGGGGTTGAACCCAGGGGCACTTTATCACTGAGCTACATTCCCAGTTCTTTTTAATTTTTGTTTTGAGACAGGGTCTCACTAAGTAACTTAATTTGCTGAGGCTGCTTGAACTTGTAACCCTCCTGCCTCAGCCTCCCAAGTCACTGGGATTACAGGCATGTGCCACCATGCACAGCCACAAAGCTTTTTTTAAAGCAACATTAAGGCCCTTGGCTTCAATTTGATATAAAAAGAATAAATTACTGTTTAATTAATCAAAGCCCAAGGTCTCCTAAATACAAAGTAATGTACTTTTATCAGAAAGTCTGAACAAAATATTTATTGAGACTATTAGCATTCTTTTAAAGGATGCTAATTCTGCTTTTGGTTTTTTAATAACTGTATTTAATTATTTGGTTTGAAGTAGTTTTGTGTGTATGCATTTGAGCATATTAAATTCAGCTTTAAAGTCTCTATTTGTTGCAGAGTAAAACAAAACAGTAAATCAAATCGGAACTACCGAAAAAGAAAGTCTATCCTATGAATTTTTTTTAAGTATTTATTTTTTAGTTGTAGTTGGACACAGTACCTTTATTTTATTTATTTATTTTCATGTGGTGCTGAGGATCGAACCCAGGGCCTCATACATGCTAGGCAAGCGCTCTGCCGTTGAGCCACAACCCCAGCCCAATCCTATGAATTTAAGGAAGAGAAATTATCACATCATAAATCTTAGTTCCAATGTATTCTATTTCTTAATAAGGCATTTTTTAATCTTGTAGATGACTTTTTGGTGTTACATCTTGCTGACTTAATTCGCATGGCTTTTATGGCTGCCACAGATCACAGTGATCAACTCCGTCTTTCTGGCCTTGAAACACTATTAGTTGTTATTCGGCGATTTGCAACTGTTCCAGAACCAGAGTTTCCAGGTCATGTGATTCTAGAACAGTATCAAGCCAATGTAAGCATTTTCTCTTAGAAAAATTTTTAAATTAAAAACAACAATAAAATGTGTATACAACTATTTGGCATGTACCTTTCAAATTATATAAGTGAGGATATTTCTCTTCTAACATATCACCAGTGTCATCACCATGTAGAAAATACATACATTTGTGGAAGAAATCTGACAGCTATTAGTTTATAAAGTTTCAAGTACAAGCAAAATGGTACATAAAATAGGTATTTTATAACTTTAAGGATTAATTTTCATAATTAAAACCTTGCTAATTTGAGGGAGTGGAGGATTTCAGAAATGAAATCGTATACAAAATGTCTGAATAAGTAATATAACACCAAATATCCAGATTACATTAAATCATTACTCCTAGAATAAATAGAATGTGATACTTAACATCCTTTTTAAAAAAAAAAAATTATAATTTTTTTTAACTGATTGTGTTTGACTGGTACATTATAAAAGCTAGAAAAAGAAAGGAAGATAACAAAATCCTTATCCGTCTTATAATCCTCTAACAGCATTCATCCAAGCATGTCTCTCATTATGATTTAGAGGCAAGTTGTGATAACTAGCAATTAAGGAGACCAGAGCAATTCACTAGTTGGTAAATAATCTTATCCCTTTTTCCCAGTAAGTAATGCTAGTGCATACTTAGGGAGAGAGCAAAAAGAAGGAATTGAAGTTACATACAACTGTCATATTAGACTAAAATATTATAATTCAGCTTAATTGAAGGGAGTTCTTATATTTTTATCTTTTTAAAAATTATAAGTATTAGAAATACAATTACAACTCATTTAGGCAGAAAAAGGAAAATTATTGTCAGGAATCTTTTAGTTGGCTCCACTGTCTTCTGCATGGCTTTATTCTGAGATTTGTCTTTCTAAGTGAGATTAAGATGACTCTCAAGTGCAAAAAATAAATCCTCTTTTGCAATTCAGAACTCATTGTTCTGAATTGCAGGAATACTATATCTAAGATAGCTTAAAGTGATGGGATATTGATAAATGAAAAGGTTGGTTCTAAGACTAAAAAGGTAATAAAAAGCACAGGTCATGAGAAGGGGGGAAAAATGATTGCTCTCTCAGTACCCAAGTTCTTTTAAAGAGACAGTACTTCTTTTCCAGTACTCCCAACAAAAGTCTTAAGAGCTTTCAGTATACCAGTGTGGGTCCCTGGAGCACATGGACTACGAGGTAGGGGAGAAATAGTTCCCCTAAGGAAAAACAGGAATCCCATTATCTAAAAATAAGGGGAAATATGCAGAGCAGGCAAAACCAACAGTTGCCATAATACCTATTAAAAATACATGATTTTAAAATCAGATTAAAAAGGAGAACTTGTGCTCTCTTATTGATGTTTGATTTGTCATATAATTTCTCTTCAGGTAGGAGCAGCACTTAGACCAGCCTTCACTTCAGAGACACCACCCGATGTGACTGCCAAAGCATGTCAGGTAAATGGTTTAAAAGACACAGCTTAAAAATGGTCTTAGGAAACAGTTCAGTTAGTGATTGAAGCCATGGTTATCTTCTCATTGATCTCAACTTACCATTTTTCTTTTCTTAAGTTTAGAGAACTTCCTTTTCCTTTTTTATAATTGCATGGTAACCCTATCTATGAATATGTCATAATTTATTTAAACAGTTTTATATTGATGGACATATAGGGTTTTTGGTCTTTTGCTGTTATAAATAGCGCTATAATATTATGATGTTCTGGGCTAGGGTTGTGGTTCAGTGGTAGAGTGCATGTGTGAGGCCCTGGGTTTAATCCTCAGCACCACATAAAAAATAATAATAATAAAGTTATTAAAATGTTTTAGAAAATTATAAATGAGAGATTAAATTTTTAAAAATATTATGATCTTCTGCATAGGTCCTTTTTTGAGGGAACTGGGGGAAGGGTCCTGGGAATTGAATTGAATCCACACCCTGGCGCATGCTAGGCAAGCTCTCTACCACTAAGTTACACCCTTAGCCTTTTTTCTATCTACATGATAGAGTAAAAAGGGTATCTCATAAGAGATTGAATTGGTATTTCAAATGAGGCTGAACTTTTTTTTGATATGTCTAAGAGCCATATAATACACAGTCTTAAAAACTTCTTGGAGTAGATTGTCAAACACTTGACATAAAATAATTAAAAGCAGGACTGTCATGAATAAATTAATTATAAACATAATGGAAAAACCTAATTTTAGTCAGTTCTTTCTAATCTTTTTTCTAAATCTAATTTTTAATCAGGTGCTGGGGATTGAACCCAGGGCCTCAAGCATGCTACCTGAGCACACACTCTAACTTTGAACTGCACCCTAGTGCCTCAGCTTTCTTTTACAGATTGTATTTACAAAACTTTGAGTGCCTTCAATATTCAGAGAACTGTACAAAATATTGTACTGAGTCTCTAATTTGTCATCACTTAATTATATGTATTCTTATTATAAACTACTTGAAATCTTCTGTGAAATGAGACAAAAAGTAATACAGACGCTCCTCAACTTCCAGTGGGTTTGCATATTGATAAACATAAGCTGAAATACCGTAAATAGAATATGTATTTAACATACCTAGCCTACCAAATATCATAGATATAGAGTGCCAGTTGATTTACAGAGTAAATCTCACTACTGTGAAACTGACTAGGAGCTATGGCTCCCTGCTGCTACCCAGCATCATGAGGGCTAGTGTTGTGCATATCACTAGCCCAGGAAAAGGTCAAAATTCAAAGTACAGTTTCTGCTGATGCATACATATCACCTTTGTATCATTGTAAAGTCAAAAAAACATTAGGTTGAACCATTATAAGTCAGGGACCACCTGTGTATGGAGGGGAGCAAATGAATTTCCTCTAGAAAAAGAGAAGTACCATGATACCTGGAAAAAAAACATAGACAACACCTGATAATTTAGTAAAGTTTCTGCATTGCAGAATTATGAATAAATTTTGTTTTTAAAATTAAAAATACAGGGTTGCGGTTGTTCCTCAGTGGTAGAGTGCCCGCCTAGCGTTTGCAAGGCCCTGGGTTCAGTCCTCAGCACCACATAAAAATAAATAAAATAAAGGTATTGTGTCCAATTGCAACTAAAAAATAAGTATTAAAAAAATACATTTTCATCAAAAGAATCAAAATTCATTGGAGTCTTGGGATGTAACTCTGGTAGAGCATTTGTCAAGCATGTATAAGGCCTTGGGTTCAATCCACGGCAACCCAAAAAGTTCTTCATTGGAGTTTTGTATGTTAAGTACTTTATCTTTTAATCAAGTTACAGTACCACACAATGTCTAGTTTTAAATAGAGAGATGAAGTAGTCAAGATTAAGATTTAATTAAAAATGTTAATCCAAACATTAAGACATGATTTCATAATTTCATTTTTCCAAACTAGTAACATCTAAAATTCTCAATTTATTTACGAAGTAGCACTTTTGTTTATTAAGTTGCACTGATTTCCTTGCTTACACTTCCTTCCCTTTTGAAGTGCTGACTTTGATCACTGTTACCAGCTGTATTCTATTGGGTATATCAATGACAAGATGGTTTCAGTGACTAGATTCCTGATATGCCATTGAGCTCTGCTAAACTCACAAGAGAAATATTTATTTTTAAATCTAACTTTTGATTTTCTCAAAAACCAGGTTTGCAGTGCCTGGATAGCAAGTGGAGTTGTAAGTGACCTTAGTGATCTCCGAAGAGTTCATCAGTTGCTGGTTTCATCATTAACAAAAATACAGGCTGGAAAAGAAGCTCTAAGTCACTTATATAATGAAAGTGCTTCTACCATGGAGATCTTAGCTGTTTTAAAAGCCTGGGCAGAGGTTAGTACTTTTTAATTTGTAACTGGAATTTTGGAATTTATTAATAAACACCTTAGGATATCAACTGAAATTAACTTTTATGAAACAGTAAATCTCCAGGCATGGTGGTGCACACCTGTAATCCCAGGAATTTGAAAGACTGAAGCAGGAGGATTACAAGATTGAGGTCAGCCTCAGCAATTTAATGAGTCTCTAAGCAACTTAGCAAGACCCTATGTCAAAATAAAAAATTAAAAGGGCTAGGGATATGGCTCAGTTGTAAAGGACCCCTTAGTTCCATCCCCAGTACCAAAAAAAAAAAAAAAAGTTAACTGTAAAAAAAAAAGACTTCCAACATGACATTTACTTATATGTTAATTAACATGTTGATCAAAATTCAGTAATAGTACTCTTACCTAGCATGTACAAGGGGGGTTTGATCCACCACACAGAAAAAAGAGTCCTCATTGTCTGCTGCTTTAAGCAGGAACAATTATGAACCAGAGAAAGGTCCTAATAGTCAATGAAAATAAACTTTTATTGAAGTCAGTTCTTGAATATATGCAACTGCTTGTATGTTCTGTCAACTCTATAACACATACTTTAATGTTTGTTAATGCTCTTTCATAGAATGACATTCAGATACTAAGTAGCAGTCACTCATTTTTAAGAATAAAGGAATCTTATAATAATATGTTTACTTTATATTTATTTAATTTCTAATCAGGAGCAAAGTTATATCATTTGTTAGTTTACTATGGAAATTTTAACATATACAAAAGCAGACAGAATAGTATAATGAATATACATATAAGCCAGCTTGAATAGTTATCAAACATGGCTAGTCTTGTTTATGTATCATTTTAATGAATATATGAAATCAGATTGCAACTCAGAAAATTAGCCAACTGTACAAAAGGGTTTCCTCCAATAGTGCTATTTTAAGCCTTAAGGTTATAGACTCTCAATGTTTGTCGTCATTTACTGTTGACAAGACTTTGGTTAGGAAGTAGTTATGCCTACATTTAGTAACTGGATCTAATTGTCTTTAACAGTCAACTCTTTATGCTTTGAAAGCATATGATTTTCCTAGAGAAAACAAATTTGTAACCTATTTTATAAATAAGTCTTTGGAGTAGGCACAGTGGCACACGCCTGTAATCCCAGCAGACCAGGAGGCTA